GCGGCGGGCAGGGCGCGCGGGCCGCGGGCTGCGGGAGGCGGCGGCGGGGCGGGGGGAGGCTGATTAGCATGCAGCAGCGCTCGCCGCCCGGCTCCATTGTTTTAACACCTCCCCTCTCCTCCGCGCCAATCTGTCACCGTTCAGCAGGCGAACGCTGCTGCCTCAAATGCTGCTCTTCTCAAATGAGACGGATAATTAGTTGCCCCGCACGAATGCCGCACTCTTCTCACCCCTGATTGCTATCACCTTCTTGCTCCTGGCAGTTTTGACACCTCGTAATCAGCCTGCTGCTTTTCTCTTTTCTTCCCGACTTCTGCTTCCCTCCCCCCTTTCCTTCCTCGTTGATTTATTTATTTATTATTATTATTTTAAATGCAATCCTGGTGCCTATTTGGATGCGTCCTCGGCGAGTTAACCTACGCGCACACGCGCGCCGCCCCGTGTCGCTGCGAACCGGCAGCGCGGGGCGGCGGCGGGGACGCGGCTTCCACGCGCAATCTTCTCCCGAGGATATTTTGGGAAGGGAGGAGTCGCGGAGGGGGACGGGAGGGAAGAGTTGGGGAGACCTCAATTAATGCTTTAAAGATCTTTAGAAATTAAGCCGGGGAGTCTCGGAATCTGCTGTCAGCAGCGCGCGCCCCTCGCCTCTAACAAGCACTGACAGTCTAATTACTGGAGCTACTCGCAGCTGTCGAGGCAGCAGCCGGGAGAAGGAGCCACGGGCCGAGCGCCCCCTGCGGCCCCTGCGCCCGCCGAGCCCAGCCGCGCCCGAGCCTGCGCCCGGGGAGGCCGAGGCCCGGCCCCGGCGGCCCAGGTGCCAGCGGCCCCGCTTCCTGTTTCATATTTATGAAGTCTTTACCTTGAAGGTTAAAAGATGTGAAGAAGCAAGGAGGGGAGGGGAGGGGGGGGGGGAAGCAAATCTTCCAGACTTCCATCCACCCCTTCCTACCTCCTCGAGCTCTCCCTCCCCCCGTGTTGGTAAAATAACCACGCAACCCGGGGCTGAGGGGGCGGGGAGCCAGGCTGGAGTGTAAGAAAGCAGATGTCCCCGCTGGCAGCAGCCTGAGCCTCCGGGGAAAGCTGCGCGGGGCGGGGGCCCTCCCGAGGACATTCACCTCCCACTTCTCAGGCATCCCGCTCACAACTGCCGCGCCTCGGCGGGGGTGGTTTTTTCAGACTCAGCGTTTTGCGTGTGCAGCTTTTTTACCTGGGAGCTGTTCTTACCCGGCCACGCTTAGCCCATGCCAAGAGGCAGCCCCTGCACGACTCAGACGGAGACACAGGGTCAGACCCTGAGGGGCCCAGGCCACCATGCCGGCTGCAGCCAGCGCCCTCTGCTGAGCACACAGTGGCCCTCAAAGGTCTCCGTCTCTCAGGGTACCCCTAGGATCCAAGAGAACACAGTCCCCAGCTCCCACTTACAGGTGGCGGAGGCGGAAAGATCTGGCAGGAGAAAAGGGGTCAGTGGTCTATTTTCAGGGCTAGTTTTCTTGGGTGCTCAGCAAATTAGGTGTCAGGCTTGTGAGAAGGACTCTCCCCTTTCTATGGAAGGCCAGGAATATAATCCCCTTTCACAAAATAGGTACTGTGGTTTACTCTGGCTGGTACACACTGGCGAGTTTCAGCTTCAGTTTTGTGTGTGAGCAGAGTAGAGAAGTATGGGGGAAGGGAGGAGCCTTGGATAACTGTCTAGGCATTTGGCCCCAGTGGCAAGGAAAAGATGTACATGCCGCAGAAGCCTTCGCAGTGAATACCTAATAATCGCTATGTCACCTTGGTGAGGAAGATGTCAGTGTGGCACACATGGCACCCTGAGAAGTTGAGGCACCGCTCGCATTCCTCCACAAGTCCAGGCTGTGCACTGCACGCTGGGACCTTCGCGGATTCCCCACCCCAAATCCTCCAGTTCACAATACTTGCTGCATCAAGTCTTCAATTTCTGTTTGAGAGTTGCAAATCAATGCTTATCAATGTTTAAAATGGAAGCCATGCAACAGATCTTTTGAAAAATCAGGGTAAAAGAGAAATGCAAGAGGGAGATAAAGGGGAGTCTCTAGGCAAATTTTCAGCACTCTAACTTGGGCATCCTCCCTCTCCAATGTCTTCCAGTGGCCATCAGTCAGGCTGCTAACGATGCATAACAAATTTCTCAACAAGAATGTCAGTGCTCTAATCTAAATTAATAAATATGGATGGTCCTTACAGGGTTGTATATTTGCTCTCATTAAAAGCAAATGTTTCTTTAGAAAGTTTCATTTGAGAAATGATTTTAAAATTCAAAGTGACCTACTAATTACAATAAATGTCACCAGATCCAGTCATCACTCTTCTCTAAGTTAATGGAAAGAAAACATGAATTTTACAAATGCTCCCCAAATGCGATTTATTTATTTATTGAAGGAACAAAAGAACACACTAGTGATCACATTAGGAGTTAACATTTAATTCATTTCATCATGTAGGTATATAGTAAAAATTGAAACCATATATATTATTAAAAATCCAGGAGTATTTAAATAGTTATCACTGAACAACAAATATCTTCAAATTGGTACTTACATATTTGTTGATCTATTTTCTGTTGTACATTTATTCATATAGAACATTACTGATTGCATAATCTAATTTTTGAATGAAAACAGAAACCCTATAAACATTTGTCATCATCAAATTAGGTCTCATTAGAAATCCAAGAAATAAGCTTAGATACTTGAAGCAAACATGATTATACAACTCTGTAAGTCATATACATAATTTTGAATTATGATATTGTAAACAAGACTATATCGTATTACCTTTTTTTACAAAATGATCTTTAAAGGGTAATAAAAGTTATAAAATAGGTCTAGAAAAATTTAAATAACAATACTACTTTCTATAAATGATCTTCAAGTTAGATTCCAATCAAGTGTTTATAGTATTACAAATACCAAATCATGCCACAGCACTTGAGATCTGTGTTCTTCAGGATGCCTTACGTCTCCCCATTGAAGTGTGAATTAAGGTGCCGGAGGAAATCCCCCCTGGACATAATGGACGGTGGGAAAACTGCTTGACAGAATTCACACACTCGAGGTACTTGCAGCTCTGAGTCGGAGTCGCTTTGTGCCAGTAAGTCACTATCTTGATTAGGAAAGGGGCTCCAAAGAGGCTGTGGGAAACAAACAAACAACATCTTCTGTTACTTGGGTTTCAAATCAACTTGAATCAAATTTAAAATTCAAATATTTGAATGAGTTATGTGTATTTATATATGAAATTTTCTAATATGAAGCCAAGTTAGTTTCCACAGAGTTCGAATGAGGATACAACTCAATTCTTTTTTCCTTTAAAGGGTACAACTAAACTTTGATTAAAATCACTGGTATGAAGGGTGTATATTAATGTAGGGTGCTTGGTTTGCATGCATGAGGCCCTAGGCTTCATGGGGGTAAGGGAAGAAAGAAAAAAAAAAATCACTAAAAGCACACACTCCTGTGTTTTATCTTTACATATTTTAAGATCATTGTAGCTTTAGCTCCAGCAATTTTTAGTGCTTAGTTATCTCTATATGGTAGTCATTTTGGAACAAACATTCAAACTTCAGACTTTTAAACTAAATTCTACCTTTTTAATTTTATGATGGAAACCTTAAATCACAGTGCCTTCTTTTAATACATGGTATACTAGACTTGTGTATATGTGTATACATGTACCTTAACCACAAGTAATTTAAATCAATCATATATGAGTCAGCACTTTGATTTTTAAAAAAGTAAAATCAACTACTGAACAGAGTCTAGTGGCTAATTTTATTGGGGGAGGGGCTCGTTTCTGAAAACTTACATATTTAAATTAATTCAACAAAAGCTAGTATCAGACACTTCTAATTTTGTGCCCATTATTTAATCTGTAGCTTGGCCTTCATATTCTTTCTTGTGCAAAATACAGTGGAATTTAATAGCTACCCAATTAAAGAATTATGGAAAATTCTAATTTAATAGACCCACTTCCATTATAACCTCCAGCAAATTAAATGAAAAACTGTTTTAATTTTTTAAAAAGCTTTTAGAAGATACAATATTTAGTTTAATAGATGGTATCTGATAACTAACATTCACTAGAAAATTATTTTTTGAATTGCATAAGCCAGGTTATTTAAAAAATATTCTCCCTTGCCTTAACATAGGTAAGTTATTCTGCCACATCCCTTTTTTTTATATTTTGAGGAAAAAAATCACTTTACAGCACAATTTAAAGATATTTCTTGATGTTACTATTACTGCTGTATTTTTAAATGAACCACAGCCTATTGCCCAACCTCACAATTTTCATTCTTTCTAGTTAACCAATCATTTACCTAAGCCAATCATCTACATATCACTACTTGAAGCATTTGGATTTCATGACATAACTGTCTTCCTGTAACATTTTACTGGACAGGTGTATACAATTGGAATATGCAAGATCTAGGCAACAAGATACTGTCAGTATGTAGGACTTAATAACACAGACTGATTTCATGAGAAGTAGCCATTTTGACATAAAAAATAGTAATATCTAAAATAAACATTATAAAAATTGGGCAAAATAAACTTTTAGAAAAGCCTTTCTTCTATAAAACAAAAGCCATATTTTAAAGTATACAAACAAAAATCAAGGTTAACTATATTCAAATATTACTGTCTGGAGTTTAAACAAAAAGTAAAAATTAATAAAAAGTCAGTAAGGTTTTAAGAAGATTAAAGAAAATTTTTGCTAAGATCTATGGAATAAAAAGAATTAACTTAGAAGCAATTCAGCTTTCATATTTGGTAAGCCAAAATTCCACTGCTAACTTATCTTCAAAGTTCTTCTCCATTAGAAGCAATTAATTCACATTTGATTTCTTCATGGAATTTAGTTATACCTTAATAGCTGATTCAAGAAAAGAAAATCAAATAAAACAAAGATATGCTAATACATATTAGTTTTTGCTATAATAACTGAATGTGTAGAACAGGTGCTTAGTAGTAATAAATAGTGTAAAGTAACTTATACTATGTATCAAAAATTTACTTGTTACTACAAACTCAGGAATTTTGTATTTATCATATGACCTTATTAACACTAATAAAATATTGAAATGTTCCTAGAAACTTGTTTTATGAAAAATTCTTTCAATTATAAAGTAACATGGCCAACAAATCTAATTTTGCTTTTTCTGCCAAAATATCAATTATCTAACCTTATGCCCCATGTCGTGTGACAGCTCAACACCAACTCTCCTGCATTTTTTAAGCTGAATACTTTTCCATCAAGTTGTAATCACATACCAGCTGTTTCTCTTGCTGGAGTACAGAAAGCAAATGCACAATGCAGGGTGCCATCTACTGAAACATGGATGCACAGACTAACTAGTAAAAGAACAGGCAAGAAATATGGAGAAAAAGGTAACAAGCATTAGAACTGATACAGTTCACAGCTCCACAGGAATTATATTTGCAATACATGAAATTGTGTAATATGTTTCATCGAGTAACAACTGTAACCGATACTATGATGCACAATAGCGTACAACCTACAACGTGAGTTTATAATTAAGGCTTGTCAACAGCAATGCCTAGTTTTCCCCAATATTAAAATAAAATAAAGCTTGAATGTTGCCTTCTTTGCATGCTGATGAAAGTCTGTAAGAGTACTTATGCTCAAAGGACATTAATCAAAGTTTTTCTTAAGTATCTCAAAGAAAAGAGAAAAAAAGTTTGCAAGTTATACATGCATGTCAATTTGGATTTGCACAAAATTCTACTTACTGTAATATGCATTTTTCATTTGCTTTTCGGCATTGAAACTTAAAAAACAAAACAAAACAAAACAAAACAAAAAACCAAGAAGCATCAGTCTATGATAGAACCTGAATCTAAAAGGGAGGGAGAGTGGGAGTGGATTGGTGGGTTACAAGTAGCTTTCAATCCTACCTTTTATTCATAAGACTACTTAAAAATATGTATTAGGCTATATGTATGTTTGTGCCAGATTAGCACCCCAAACTAAAACCCTACAGATCCACTTATCATATAACTGAAATTATAAGTATCAATTGAAAATCAGTTCACTTATTCTGAGAATTAAGCATGTAAGATGAATTACTTACGGCATTTATTGTAAAAACCCCCATCATTTTGAAATTTAATAAAGAAACTGGTTATAATACTGATACTGAGTAAACAAGCTTTTAGAGTCCAAGAAAGTAATAACATGCTAGATATAGATAAGGTTCATGTATATTTAAAAATCTGCCATACGTTGTATTCAGATTTGTACATTCCACTCCTTTGCTATAGAATTTGAACCTTAACTCTGGCTAATCATTTATGTAAAAAGGATATCTGATAACCTAGAAATACATAAATGGCAAAATGTGTTTTCACACATAATGAAATATTTGTTTATGCAAAACAGTTACCCGCTGTGGTCCTCGGATAGCTTTTCCTGGGGAATCCAGTGAGGGAAAAGGTGCACCAGATGGGTCCTGACGTGGGAATGTATTTACATATAATGCATTATGGTCTCCAGGTGGCAAACACAAAGCTCTATCCAGAGTTGTCCTCATGCAATTGTTTATATGATTTGAGGGTCTTGGCTTGTCAGTTGTTTTAAGGTTTTGTATAGCTGAAGCTATGGGATCAAGTCCCTGAATTTCAAATAAAGTTTCTTCTGTTTTAACGATGTTTCCTCGGTTGTCTCTGAGCTCCATATTAAATTTGTTTGGGCACACTGCCTCAGATGTGGCAGGGGCAAGGACACTGGGTTTCTCTGTGGCGCTATGTAAGAAAGTTGAGTCACTGTCCATAGGTGGAAACTTGACATTGAATTTGGAAAGTGATTCAAAAGAGGTGTCTTCCTCGTCTCGACCTAGTCCTCTTGGTGCGACAGATGTAATACACGATGAACCTCTATTTATATCATCTTTAGCCTGAGGCTTAAACAGCGCTTCTTGTTTATCTGTTTTATCTGTACATTGTATAGGTACAGAGCACTGTGTTTCTGCAGGAAAAAGAACACAAAAGGGAAATAATCATAATTCAAATCATACTTTAAGATCTGTTCAGTCAGCTTTCGGAAGATGAACTTTTAAAATTTTTTTAATAGAAACTGGAGACAAGGGGCAGCAAGATAGCTCAGTGGACTAAGTGCCTTTAGGCAAGCGCAGGGGTTCGATCCCTGACACCACACACCATGCCAGCCCCACCCCCCAGGCGCGCTGAGCTGGCTACTGAGTCCAGGCATTGTGGAGCATGCGTGTAATCCCAGAGCTGGGAAAGCTGAGACAGGAGAATCACTACAAGTCTGAGCTGCGTAGTGAGACCCTGTACCAAATACATAAAAAGAAAAGAAACTGAAGACAACTAGGAGTTTTATATTTGCTACCCTCTTACACATGAATTTCAGCAGTCTTTAGCAGGTGAACTGGAACATAGCTTATTACTCAAAGTTTAACCATGTCTTTTCCTTGGTCTTTTGCTGTAAGCTCTGTATCTTATTCACAGTTATGCTGTTCTACACTTAAAAAACTGTAGTGTATACATTTAAACATTTTGTCAGTAATGGAAGCTGTAACTGTAAGCTTGCTTAGACAAGTAAGTTAAAAGGGAAAATTCGTAATATATAATATATATAGTCATTTATTATTTACTATATAAACTGATATGTAACTAAGTATACTACCAATCAATTTAGCCACTATCTCAATAATTCACATGAGAGAGTGGTAATAGAGGTTGAGAAGAAGAAAATAATGGAGGCAAACAATGAAATTTATTGAATATATGGTTTTGTTATATTTTTTATTTTTATTTTTTTTTTTAAAGCTTGATTCTTTTTTTTTTAATATTTATTTATTTTTATTTATTGCATTTATTTAATGTGTGTGTCTGTGGCCAGCTCAGCCCACCAGGGGGCGGGTCTGGCCGGCATGTGGTGCTGGGGATTGAACCGAGGTCCCTGTGCTTTGCCAAGCTTGTTCCAAGTAGGTGCTTTAGACCACTGAGCCATCTCTCCAGCCCCTGTTATATTTTTTAAAAACACCTCTGGGGCTGGGAATGCAGCTCAGTGGTAGAGCACTTACTTGCCTAGTAGGGACAAGGCCCTAGGTTCAATCTCTAAAAAGTGAAAATAAAACACAACAAAACAAAATCAAACCTCTGTGCAACAGGTATTTATCAAGCTAATACCAGGACCTCTGTAGCACATTTATCCAAAAGCTACTTATCCAAAAATTCAGCTTTCTAGGACACAGTAAAAAACTAGGAAGGAAGCATAACTTCTGTGGAGTCAGAATAAGGGCTAAAAGGGCAACAGACACATGGATTTTGCTTCTATTTTCATTTTACATTTATTCTAACAAGCTTGATGGGTCTTTAGCTCATAGCTTATTTGAAACAACAAATTAAAACAAGATGGTAAAGGCAGATAAGAAATCCATAGCTGAATGCATGGAGAAAGTAATAACAAATATATAGGTATAACAACTCAGAAAACACTGCAGTCTAATGTGGGGCCACTAGGAGCTATATTTTGCAATAAACAACAACAAAAAAAAAACTTCATGTTGACGACCTGAGATACTAAAAAAAAAAAAAAAAAAAAAAAAAAAAAAAACTAAATTATGCTCCATTGTGTCAGTTCAAGAAGGTAATGAAGCTGGTAACATTTTTATTCAATAATAAATAGTAAAAAAAATTAAAAGTAGAATTTTAAGTAGATTGTCATTATTGAAGTGATATATTCACAAATGGAGACTCTGACAAGGATGCAGGTTGAGGTAGAGAAGGTACAAAGAACACCTTGCAGTGTTTGCCCAAATCAGCAAGCACCCATCACGTCAGTTCCTCTGATTGTTGGTGTGTCAAGACAGCTTTTTCTTTTTTGTTACCACATATTTCTAACATAAAATATCTTCTGTACAATGTGTAGTACAACGAAACTAACTTCTTCAGTTAATCCTATTATGTATCTCCTGCCCCTCTGCAGCCCACACCATCCCCTCTTACTGGATTATTACAACAGCCTTTGAACTGCTTCCATGCCTCTGAAGTTGTCTCACATCCAATCTGTTCTCGACATTGCAACTCTCCCTCCTACCCTTCCTTCTCAGAGTAGTTTTCCTAAAGTATAAATCTGGTCATGTTACTTCCTTAATAAAAGCTTTTCATGACTCTCCAAACTCTTTGGCCCTCATACAAGGCACATAACTATTCATAATTGGTCCTTTGGCACTTTCCACACTCACCTTTCAGCATTCTGGTTTTAATTCATAGTCCAGCTATAATGAACTTTGTATAGTTTCCCAAATACCTGTGTGCTTATCTCTAGACCTTTGTACATGTACTGTCTAATATGTTCCCTTTCATTTTTCTTTGCCTAATTCTAATTTGTCTTGATTTAGGCATTAGTTTCTCTGGATGGCTCTCCTAGGACTATTAGGTAACCTGAAGAGTGAACAGTCAGTGTTATACTTTCAAACATACTTCTTTTCTTCCCATTAAAGTAGGTTTTCTGATGTCCTAACCTATGTTCTATTCACTATTTACTCCAGTATCCTGCTTAGTGCCTGGCACATAGTGTGCCATAAATAAGTAAATTCTGAATGAATCTGCATTCTTTTCTTCACAGAGCCTAGAATAATAATCCACATTTATTAGATATCCTGTCTGTGATTAGGAGTAGTACAGTAACTGAGAATGAGCTCAATTGTTTAGCTGGATTTCTTCGACCTCTGAGGTTCTTAAAGTCCATTAGCTTTCAAGTAGTCATTTTTCCTGGCAGTGGATTTGAAGATGGCAAGATATTGTAGCAAATAGTAATCAAAATGTGTAACATGTGAGAAGGAGGAAAGCGTATCAAATGATTTTCACAAGAACAGGGTGAATACTTTAGAATCTGGTGCTGCTGCTAATGGCAACAACTATTAACATTAATAACACTCCCGGTGCTGTTATAATTGTTAGAAGAGCATGAATTCATTTACTATTCAGAATAATCCCAAGGTAGGCACCATTATCCCATATTAGACACTATTATCCCCAATTTCTACGGGAAAAAATGGGACATGGAGAGGTTAATTCCAAGCTCTACAGCTACTGAGTGGTAGATCTGGCACTGGAACCCAGGAAGTCTAGCTCTGGAGTCTGTGCTCAGAACCATTATGCTAAATTGAACATGTTGGTTTCTATATATAGAGAGGAGTCCTCAAATTGACAGAAATACGCTTGGAATTACTTTCCTAGCAGTTGACCTATTCCCCTTGCAAAGAAAACATGGGGAAATCAAACAGCTATAATAAAGCAGTTATTTTCTTTCAGTATAGCTAGCTGGCATATAACCTCAGCCACATTAAAATTCAAGTTTATATGTTCATGTGGAGATAGTAAATATCGATTAAAAGATTTAAAACTAAGACTCCTAAAATTACTAAAAATTTAACAATAGAAAACGTTAAACTCCAACAAAGTGCATGAAAATACTTGTCCTGACACTATAATGAGAAAAAAGATTAGGTGAACAAATAGCTTTATGTGTGTATGTTTCAAGAATAGTTATTTTTGCAAGGAAAACAAAAAAGATGAGAAACAATTTTAGATTTCCAAATTCTACGTACAGGCTACCTATTTAGACTACTTCTCAGTCTTGTTACTGTGACTACTGACAAAGGAAAAGAACCTGATGGTTGTTTGCAATCCTTAACCCTATATTCTCTCTTTATTGCCAATAAAATGAGACCTTCCTTTTGGATCAAATAGTGCTTTTCTCCTCGACATATTTGCTTAAACATACATTTCTATCTTTATCCTTTTCCCAAGGCTATTGCCATATGTGGATGACTGGGAAAAAAAAAAATAAAAGGAAATGTATAATTTTACTAACTCAGCATTTCGAAATTAGTTATATTTGGTTCTTTAAAAGTAAAAGCATTTTAATTACAAAATTGGAACAATAATTGTTATACTTTTTCTACATATATACCATGCATATAATATGTGAAATAGTTTCTCTATATTTTTATTCAACGTAGCATATATATTTGGGAACCCTGAGAATAGGCATATTTTTCCAAAATATTTTTTTCTTTCTTTTCCCTTTTGATCTGCTACTGTCAGGGCATAGTATTTGGTGTTTTAGTCTCTGTTTGGATAGAGCAAAACTTCACTGAAATCTGTAGGATAGTAGATCCACAGTATTTCATGAATAATGTTGTATTTATTATTTGTGACACAGTTCATATAAAGCATAGGAAAAATGTTAAGCAGTTTCAGTGAGGAAGAAACTGAAGCTAAACACTCAAGTGTTCTAGTTGACAGATAAATACGCAGATTCAGACCTGTGCAATTTAAAAATGGTCAAAGTATTAAGCCATTGATAATGGGGTATGTTCTCTGTGTAACAAAGGATGTATCACTATTACAATGTTTTGATAAGATGTTGATGTTCAAAAAGCATGCTTATGAATTCTAGGCCATAGCTAACATATTTTAAATAAAAATAATGTCTACTTCAGACACAGCTAGTATCTTTACTCTGTAAAACTGATCTATTTTTCATGAAAATGACAATAATTTAGATGGAGAAATGAAGAGGTCTTTTGGGGAAAGGTGGAGGAATAGAAGGGGAAGGAACAAATTATGCCTATTTACAAAGATTGTTTTGTTTCTTCCTTACCTCATTATATAGTTTCACCAAAAGCAAGGTTGTAGTTTCAAAAAGTGAATTTCCACCCTATAATGATTTTAAACAGCTCATATGTAAGAGCTGTAAGAAATGGAAAGTGATTTTTAAATAAAGGGGTGCTAGTTGTCACTGCTGCATCTCTCTTGAGAGTGAATGCTGTAAATCACATCGCTTGGGAATTAACTGCATATTACCTCAGATCACAAGGGTAAAGGAGAATTTATCAGTAGAAACGATCAATTTACCTTCTTTCTGTCTTTAGATGTTCTTGGCTGACAGACTTAATCCCTAGTATTTTGCTATTAGTATCTAACAACTGTAGCAAACACCAAGAAGCCTGTCTGAGATTTTAGGGATGGGTTGAGCTTTTAAAAAGCACACTGCAACACATGTGAAATAGATGTTCTTTCTAAGTTGTTTTTTACACTAATTTGTATTTTGCACCTGCAATAGAACTGGAAATGTGCATGTACATTTTTATTCTTGAAACAAATTATCAGAAACTAACCATAACATTCAATGAAATTTCAAGTACAAGTTAAAAGCAAACCTGATATTATAGTTATTAATTATTATCATGCTAATTCACGTGATAGTATAGCTTCTAGTTTACTTAGTAACATATGATTTAAATTTGATATGATCCCCAAAAAGCAACCTGAAAGTCTGGGATATATAGTCTGTACTTATTTTGTAGTTTTTCAAGACAGGTCTTCCCAGTAAGTTGGGTAGTAATTAGGTTATTCAATTCAGTTGATAAACCTAATACTACATAAATGAAAACAGAAGAAGCCAAGAATTACATAATGTAATACCTTACAAAACTTACAATAGCAAATAGTATTCAAATATGATTGGGTGAGGGGCATGATGCACATATTTAATAATATTTATGAGCATTCAGAAATATTTTTATGTTCAAACAAATCCATTTCAATGAGTAAGTTAAATTAAGCCTTACCAATTGCAATGTCTGGTATATTAAGTTTGCTTAAGTGGTCCTTTTGTGCTTTTGCTAGCATACATATTCTATGAAATTCTTCTTTCAGAGCCCAAAAAGTCTTCTCTAAATTATCCCTAAAAAACAACAAAAAATTAATATTTTAAAATATAAGGCTATAACCCAGCATTAATCAGACTAAATTAGTAGGAAATGTTTCCTGAATAGCTCTTAATATTTGGACAACCAGGCACAGAGTAAGTGATAAATTAAGTTTTAACAGATAGACATAGTATAGACTTGTATATCTAACTTATTCATATATCACAGTGATGCTAGCTATCTTATTCTCACATTAAAAACTTTAATGCATTGATGTGTTTTCTGAAGCATAAACAGAAAATTAACTATTGACAATGGTGAGGTTCATATTATGATTCATCAATAAAATCATATGGCCTGTCATATGTGGTCTGTTGAAATAACCAAGATTTACAAAATTTGGTTTCTAGATCCAGCTCTGCTAGACTGTAACTGTTTAACTTATTTATGTCATTTTAATATGTAGGAGTTTCAGTTCTGTCTCTTCTAGTTCAAAAACAGGCAGATCTTTTATAATTCCTAAAATTGAAAAATATGTAAAAAGAAATAAATAGAAAAACTGTACATTTTAATATTAGTAATCTAAGAGTCACAAAACCAAAACAAAACAAGGACATAAAACTACCTTTCATGGGCTAAAGGACTGCCAGGACTCCTTGATGAAGTTTCTTTTCTAGGGGAAGAAACATCTTGTCTTCTGACCTTAAAGATATAAAAGTGACCACACTTTAAGTTGCTTCCAAACTCAGATGAGATTAGATTAACAGAAACAATGGAAAACTTGTCTTCATAATGTACAATGTCTTTCAAAAAATGAGATCATGGTAAAAGTACAATGAAAATAAAAGCATATGAAAGTACGAATTATTTTTGCTAAATTCAATTACTACCTCCAGCACTGATAGCCAAGGAATTTCTCAAGTTCAATTATTGGCTAAAAATGTTACCAGGTACATCATATGATCAGAAACTCAAGCAAAACATTAATATTCACTAATAATGGTTTTTATTTTTAAATCAATTATCTTTGTCTCTTGTTAGATTCTTTTCTACAGAATGCAGTTGTCAGAAAGGAAAGAAAATCAAGTTACAGCTCCTTATTATTAACAAGTATTTAAATGTCTACAAAGATAATGGAATTATGTATTTAAACTGCTTCAACACAAGTTCTTGCCTTTCACTCCCACCCTGTGGCCCACACTGGTATTACATTTATCCTGACATTTAAAAATCAACATTAAAAAACATGTAATAATCTATTATAAGGTTCTGATTGAATTTTTTTTTTTACTTGTAACTACAAAGTTTTATGTATTTTCCAAAGCTATACACTGGCAAGTTCTTGGTTCTGAAGTCCCAACATCAGAAACTGTAATTCAGGGTACATGTTTTGAATTTCACTTTTTAAATTTGTTAGGAGTCTTATTTCTTCTTTAAAACATAGGCAATTTTAGTTGGCTTTTCTTAAAATATATTCTTCAATTTATTAATTTACTGCTCTAATTTCTATATTTTCTACATAAATAGTCTAAATATTTGGAATATTACTTGTCGTGGGTCAGAGTTAGAAAAATAAAATCTTGGCAATTCAAACAATGTGGTTTTGTGTGTCATGAACTTGATGCAAATCTGAGCGCTTTGCTGCTGCACACTGACAGACATTTAGGCCAAATCTCCTGGATTAAAAGTGCCGTACTGAACTCTGCAAGGCAGCCACGGCAGAAGACACTTGCAGATTGTTTTTCAAAATGGTGGATGAGGTTTTTCTTTGATGTTCTGTACAATCAATCGGTAGTCTCAATGTATTTATTGTGTACAAGAAAGGTAATTTTTTAAAGCTAGCCAGCCATTTAGGACATTACAACAAAACTTTTAGAAATATTCTATTAAATCTATATTAACAAAATCAGAGAAGATACAGTAAGAGAACACATCTGATAATTCAATAATTGCAAAATACGTGATTACATTAAACGTAATGTAAAAACTGCTCCTAAAAATTCTCAATATATTAACTTTTTAGGAGCTGTAATTTTAGTCTAAAACTGAGAATAGATTACAGAAAGCAGTAAAGACACTATTGTAGTTTTTGAAGTTCTGATTTTGATATAAAGTATAAGTAACTGCTTCAGAGGTAAAAGAACCATTTAAAACTAATGCGAATGAAAAGAGGTGAAGGAAAAGATAAGAATGATAAGTTTTTACCTTATTAAATAACTGGTGACAATTTCTGTGGTATTTAGATTTGATAACTAGAGTGGGTATACGTGTTTCAAAGATTCTTTGGATAGACTGGCAGGAGGTAGAGGGAAGGCTCACTAAGGAAATTTCTATGAAATTATCTAAATAAGGTCTTCATTTTTTTGGGTCAAAGAATACACATCCTTCTGCACATACTAATTCTAAGTCTTACCGTTTAAGAAAAGTATTACTGAATATATTAAACAATATACTATACCTTTTATCATTTATATCAAACAAATCTGTTAACATATTTGAAATGAAAATTCTGAGCCTCTGATGTCCAAGTAAAAATTTCTAAAGGAACTCTCCTAACATGTTAGTTGGAAAAAAAGGTAAGTAATTTTCTGACAGATGTTCTGAAGTATGGTTTAGTTAGTATGAGTACTGCATGTTAATTATGATTCTTGATTGGCACAATTTACTGGACAATAATTTATTTTTCAAAGGATTGAGGATTAATGTAGTCAATAGTAACTAACACTTTTAGCAAAATATTCACTTACTTTTCAATGTCAAATTATCTTACTTAATGAAGATTATAGTGTTGGGCATACTAGAAAGTAAATAAACAATAGAGATCACTAATTGTATTTTCTTTTGATTCTCAAATATCATCCAAGTGGATCTTGTACTTCAGGAAGACGAAGTTATTGTAATTTCAAGTAAAAAAGAAATCACATTTTAGGTTTTTTATTTTTATGTATTTGGTGTAGGGTCTCACTACACAGCTCAGACTTGTGATTTTCCTGTTTTCAGCCTCCCCAGCACTGGGATTACAGGCATGCACTACAACACCAGGTCTTTGTGACTGGCTCACCACGCCCAGGGATTGAACCCTGGTCCCTGCACTGGACTAAGCAGGTACTTAGTCCGCTGAGCTATTTCACCAGCCCCACATTTTAGATTTTAAACACTCAACAAATGAATTTATTTTGAGGTTCTATGACTTAAAATACTTAACATCATAAATTGTTCCAAGTACTACTTTGGAAGTGTGGAACTTGTGGACTAAATGCTGAAATAAGTTTTTTATGTTATGTACTCTTCCAATATAGCTCTGGATAAGTCATTCAATCAAATCCATTAGGATAAGCCCATTTGAAACAGTTGGAAGATATTGTGAAGTGTTTCCATAAATTACCTCTTACGTGAATTGGTAGAATTTTATTTTAGTGTAGATTAAGCTTCTCATAAATGGGTATTAAATAAATTAAAAAAAAAAAGTGGGCTGGCGAGATAGTACAGGGACTGGGGTTCAATTCCCAGTATGCTGTACCAGCCCTGCCCCCAGGTACACTGAGCTGGCCATAGAGACCTGGCATGGTGGTGCACACCTGCAATCCCAGTGCTGAAAACAGGAGGATCACTATGAATTTGAGCTGTGTAGTGAGAACCTGTAACAAATACATTAAAAAATAAAAAAATTAAAAAAGGTTTTATGTTGCTTTCTAGGATGTGTTTGAAAGATTGACTGCTAAGAAAGAAATGGGTATTTTTCTTAACACTTGTCTTTATAAAATAAAATAGTTTGAAAAGTAGAGAAACAATGAAAATTATTCATTTGGAATCACATTTCTCTTACAAATTTTAACAATCAATATCAATAAAATTAGATTGATTTCTGGAATTTTAAAGATGATAATGACTTAACTAATTAATATAATGTAGATTCACATATACAGAAATGAAACTTTAAAAAGCTAATTTTATTTTTATTTATTTTTGCATTGCGGGATGGAACTTAGGGCAGAGGGAAGTGCACTGCCACTGAAGTATTATCTCAGCCTTAAAAGGCCAATTTTTTTTTTTTAAACAACTTTTTTTAAAATTTTTTATTTATTTGAGAGAGAGAGAGAGAGAGAGAGAGAGAGAGAGAGAGAGAGAGAGAGAG